CGGCAGACTGGATCACATCTCGACGGGGGAGGCAACGTGCTGGACGTGAGGAAGATCCCGGACGTACTCGACATATGCGTGACCAAGGGCATCTCGAGGAACTATTTGCAGGCCCAATCGTGTCTGGACCTCTCCTCGGAGCACTTACCGGTTATCGTCACGCTGATTTCTGAGGTATTCAGCAGGGAAGCGCCGCCATTCCTCCACAATAACCGTACCGACTGGGAACATTTCAGACTACTGATGGAGTCTGAAATAGAACTAAAAATCCCACTGAAAACAAAGACGGATATCGATCGGGCTATAGAAGAACTAAACTGCTTAATCCAGAGGTCGGCCTGGGCAGCAACACCTGCAACAGTCCAGAAAGCGGAAACACTGTCTTGCCCCTTTACAATTACGAAAGCGATTGCCGAGAAGAGGAGGCTCCGACGCATATGGCAGAATAGCAGATTACCGATCGACAAATCCGTTTTCAACAAGGCAACGAAAGACCTCAAAGAGATTCTTTGTAAGTAGAGAAACCAGAAATTCCAGGACTATGTCGAAAATCCGGATTCCACTGATACGGAAAGCCGATGGCAGCTGGGCGAGGAGTAGCAGAGAGAGGGCGAACGTGTTCGCGGAACACTTTGTGAACGTGTTCCAACCCTTTCCGAACGAGACAATCGTTGACGAATCGGGCGAGATCGATGAATTCTTAGAAGCTCCGTTCCAGATGTCACTCCCTATAAAACCCGTACGACCATTCGAGGTGATGGATGTCATCGGGGACCTAAAACCGAGTAAGGCTCCTGGCTACGACCTAATAACGGGAAGGGTGATGAAGGAGTTACCTAGAAAGGCCATAGTGTTGCTGACAACCATATTCAATTCCCTGATGAGAACGGGTTATTTTTCCTCCCACTGGAAAATCGCTCAGCTCGTCGTCATACCGAAGACGGGAAAAGATCCAGAAAAGGTCACGTCCTACCGACCCATCAGCCTGCTGCCGGTGATGTCCAAGGTTTTCGAGAGGTTATTGCTCCGTAGGATCCGTCCATTCTTGTGCGAGGAGGGTGTGATTCCGGACCACCAGTTCGGATTCCGACGACATCACTCCACCATCGAGCAGATCCATCGCGTGACGAACGACATCAGACGATCCATGGAGGGAAAGCAGTACTGCTCCGCTGTGTTCCTTGACATAACACAAGCCTTCGACAAAGTGTGGCACGCGGGTTTGCTCTACAAAATTAAGAGTACGCTGCCTCACACCTTTTACAGCTTATTAAAGTCATTTTTGTGTGATAGATTCTTCCAAGTGAAGATGGAGGGTGAAGTAACACAGCTGTATCCAATCGGATCGGGCGTGCCGCAGGGAAGCATCTTGGGACCGGTGTTGTATAATCTATTTACGCACGACCTGCCGACATCCCGGGAAACCACTATAGCTACCTACGCCGATGACGTCGCGATCCTTTCGTCCAACGGGGATCCGGTTATTGCTGTGCGTGGACTCCAGTGTCATCTCGACGCGTATCAGGGTTGGCTCAGCAAGTGGCGGATTAAAGTCAACGAAACCAAATCCAGCCATGTCACCTTCACCCTCAGAAAGGGAATCTGCCCCCCGGTCACACTCAACAACAAAATCATCCCGCAGGCCGACGATGCCAAGTGCCAAGATGCCAGTCCAAGTGTCTGCGAACCCTGGTGCACTCCCCCTGGTACGTGACGAATGACACAAAACACAAAGACCTAGACATGAACACTGTTAAAAGTGAAATCCCCATATTCAGTGCCCGTTACCAAAACAGACTGGAAAACCACCCCAACAGTCTCGCGTTATCCCTCCTAGACAATAGTGACACCCCCACAGACTAAAGAGACACAACACTCTCTGACCTCCCCTTTAGAAACTAAAAGTTAGTTTATAGAGACACAACACTAATNAAAGTGTACTATTTTTGTTTAAAGTTTCATAGGGTCGTCAAAATCAATGTTTATTTGGGTTGTTATGTAATGTTTGTGCAGTCAAACTAAAATTATTTGGGTTGTTTTGTTATCACAATAATTTTTAGTTAAATTTAAGTTTGTTTGTTGGAAGGTTTCCGATGGGAAATCGTTTGCGCTTATTTTGTTTTGTTATTGTTTGTAGGAAGATTTCCGATGGGAAATCGTTCCGCTCCATGTTTTTATTTTGTTTTTCTGTTTTTATTTTCTTTTTTTTTTCTGTTTGACAAAAGCATTCAACTTATAGCCCGAGATGTTGGCAGGTTGTGAATGAACAAAGAAAAGATTCTATTTGCATTCGGTTGCCCAGGGTTAGTTGTTCTAGTAGGTTGTTTCCTTCCGCCAGGGGTAGAATCAAGTCCAATAGTGCGTAGAGGATTTTAGTGACATTCACCTTATCTGTTATTTTTTGTAACTCTTTTAATCTCTTGAGATCTTCGGAATTTGCATTCATGTTAGAATCTTTGAATTGTGTCGATGGTGGAAGAGTCAACCACCATCATTTCTTTCTGATTCCGTTTGGTGATCCGTGAGTCGAAGTGGATTTTACAACCTGTACTCAGGACGATGATGGTGTTTTTATTGGTGTTGGGTTGGCCAAAGGCTCTTCTGTAAGGGTATTCCTCATTACAAGAAGTTTGTCCTATGACACTTGTGATCTGTGATTTCCCGTGATTGATACTTAAATTCAGGAAAATAAGCTTGATTTAATCCGATTTAAAAATATCAAAAAATATCTTGCGTCCATTTTTGTAGACTCATGATGATCCCTGACTTACTCTGAGAGGATCTCCTATCGAATGAGTGAGAGATATAAGGTTTCTCGAAATGGTATTTGAGAAGACCTTAAATTTCCGAGCCCACATATGCCAGCAAGTAGTATAAGACAGTTTTAATTTGTATAGAGGGTACTGACGTTTTTAGGTAAATCTGACCTTTTGTCCAGATTATAGTATCTTGTTTGATTCACAGTGACATACTATTTCAATTAACTTGTTTTAACTTATTTATTAAATTAATTAATTTATATGTTCATTCATTTATTGACCAAATATACTTATCTATTTAAACTTTTAATATGTTATATGTCTATTTGTGTGAATATGTTTATTTAAATTAGACGACTTATTGAAAAGGCTAATTTGGAGGTTGATTCCTGTTGAGGTTTTTTCAAATATTTTTTTCCTTTATGTGATAGTAATATTTAAAGTTTTTTCTACAGATCATCACTGTACTTCTTGTATTCATTAAAAACTTGCAAAAAGGAATCTGGTGACATACATACATGTTCCATGCATTTCTGCTGCATATTCAAGAAGTAGCTCTTTCTTTCTGTAATTAATTTCATTTTACGTTTACCAAGAAGCGTCACTATTCATATTCCTGTTGTCTTTCCTTTTTACAATCATATTCTTCCTGACCCCAAAATGTAACATAAATGTGTACAAATTGTCATACGTGTCACATTTCCAAACGGCAGCTTCTTAAAGGTTGAGTTATTTCCTTCAATTGTAATGGCCAATACAAGATGCCCAATATCTTGATGATTTTCAATTCATCTGCGAGATCATTGTACAAGATGTAGCAATAATCGATTCTAATTAAAATCTTTCTTTATGGTGTCAAATTTTAACTAACGTAGAGTGTTCATTAGATATTTTTTTCGGTACATATTTATTCGTATTTTTTCTGAGTATTTAACGTATGATATGGTATATACAGATATTAAAATTAAATCAATTATTATTTTCTAAAGTTAATATACTTAATGATAGTGGTAATAAGTATAATTCGTTTCTTTTCTCTGGGAGTAATAAATGTGATACAAGCTATAAATAAGACATGTGCTCATTAGATAAATGATAATATATAATAATATTATTCTAAAAAGATCCTGCAATAAGCGAGATGAACTACAATTACCATTGACGTAACAAGAAATGGATATGCCTATATGCGGCTAGGCCTATATATTTTTCTATATATGGCCTAAAACTTATAAAATATCCTGTGTACTTTTTTGTATGCAGGTGTAACATTTAGTATCTTCATTTGTGGGTAAATATTATAAAAGTTTTTGGGATTTTTATTTACATGGAAGAAAATTTATTATAATCATAATGAATTTGAATAATATTAATTAGTACTCTTTCCGTATGAAAATATGGAATACATTTAATTTTTTCTTGTCCAAAAATATGATATACAATTTTAATTGATTTTATTTATGAAATAGTTTCAAATATCTAATAAAACAAATAATATTGCAATAAGATTTAATATACTTTATTACATTGTTATAATTAATCTGTTTGAAAGATTATTTGGGTATAAGAATTATCTTAATGTATCCAATATGAGACTGAGCAGACTTCTTGGATTACGCATAATATTTATGCTGTGCTATTTATAAATGAAACTCATTATCAAAGTAAATGTATATAAAAATAGCAATATTACTAATTCGTATTTCAATGTAAAACCACAAAAACCTATATTTATAAATGAATTTAATACTTAAAATATGTATTAAAATTGTTAAAAAAATAAGTGTTCTTGTAGATCTACCTACATAAGTCAAACAAACAAAGATGCAGTGATCCAATATGATTTTGTTTAGGTATGAAATATTAATACTAATTCCAACAAAATCAAAACCTCGTGGAATCTTATTTAGCGTGTCACTCAAAATGTCTGCGGTTGACTTGACTACGCACTGCACAGTCTTTCAGGCAGAGCTTTCTGCTATCAACGGAGCTTTGCACTAAGTATGGGAGAACTCTGCTTCCTTCATGGAATACTTCACTATATTTGACAGCTATTCGGACCTGGAGTCACCATTCGAGTGCCAGGGAAGTAACGAATGGGATGATTTTCCGATCGCTTACTGTTAGTACTGCTCTGTTACGATCACATCAGTAATCTGAGCGAAAAACATATGACCATCGCTATGAAGATAACATCCAAGATTACTAACCTTGAGTTACGGAGTAGTACAGATAAACTAAATGATTCAAAAAATTCGATTACTATAAGTCAATTACAAAAAAAATAAACGAACCAGAAAGAGGAGATCTACCACCAACTTAGGTGGTCAGGTAATTTAGAACAGTTTATATATTAAGTTAGGACAAGTCTCAATTGCGAATTTTGTATTCACTATAATTAATATATTGACATGCAAAACACTATTTTATCTAACGATGTTTATGCTAGTGTTTTATATATAGTAATCAGTTTCGCTTCTACAGTAACCTTCTACATAAACAGACCAGTAGGTGAAACCGTCTCCAGTCATTTTTTTATAAAGATTGAATAGTTTAATAGCACAAACTACATCGTCTTCAATATCATCGTCTCTTAGTTGTTCGCAACTTAAATCACAAGAAAGTTCTGTAAAAAAATAATTAATGAGAATAAAATAATTGAATTTCTTTGATTTACCGTGTGACATATCTTTATTGCTCATGCATGAAACATCAGCTATAGCAAATATACCCATTTCTTCAGTTTCGTGGTCCCAATAAGCGGTATTAAGATCGGACTCTTTGGTTGCTATACACTTAAATGTAATCGTATCAACTATTTGCACTCCATTAAATAAAAGTACCATAGATAAATCTTCTACTTTCAAATACCTTCCAGATACATCCACAACCAACAACAAAATGATTGTGGATGCCACATACATTTTGCCAGCAAATTTTACAACAATTCTGTACCAGTTTTTGCGCAACACTTTTATATATGCCTTATCAAAATTTCTATTGCTATTGTTTTAAATAAAACATTATTTATATTCTTTTGTCACCGTTTTCACGTGCCTGATTTATCTAAATTTACGATTGAAATTATGGTTATTTATTGACAGAGTGTATGTTGTAGTGATTCATTGTTTACATTTTTATAAACTTTGATAAAATTACAATAGTGTTATTCATTGGTTTGAATATACGATGCTTTAAAATATATATATATATAACAGCCTATGGATCTTGGTTTTTCCTCACCATATTACCGTATTTCAGAAATACGGGCAGTACGGCGGATATTTTTTATTGAAAAACTACAAGTGTTTGCTGTTCAAATTTAGATATTTGAATAATTCTCCTTCGGACACGACAAACATATATGAATAATATTCTTTATTATATTTTTCATTCATACATGTAACGTTCTTTAAGAACGGTAATCGAATGTTTGTTTCATTATTGAAATATGTTTATTATTTTTTTATAATGAATATGTGTGAGTGGGTGGTTGACATCCAAGAAAAAAGTTGCACCACTCCAAATCTTTATGGATATAATAAAATTAGATGATGAGCAGATTGCGTTCGATTTGGGGTCGCAATTATTACTGTTTTGGGTACCTTGGTCATTCGGAAATTCTCCGGTATATTTTATCCATATATTGTCATCCGAGATCAGATTTTCTAATTGTTTATACCGAATAGATTGTGAATCAACTTATTGCGACATAAACAACGTATATATTAGTCGTTACAAAATTATTGATAAAAAAGTATAAACGTGAGTTACACGTAAACCCAATCATTGAGATAACTAAAAGGATTGCAAAGGAGAATCAATAATAACAAAAAATATACATGCAAATCAAATATAATTTTATAAAGCATTATAATCTATATATAAATTGTTTCTTTTTATACAGAATTATGAAATATTAATAATTAAATTATTCTTAACTGCAAAAAAAAATATTTTTTTATAATTTCACCATGAAACTCAAAAATTATGTAAAACACTTTTGTTTTCCATGAACAGCGAAACGTTGTAAGTCTCTCCAATTTTTACATAATCAATTAGACGTAATTCAAAGGAGATATCAATTAAACTTAATGACATTATATCAACATCTAGTTTGAATTCCTCGTTTAAATAATAACGTGAGGAACTGTAGAAGTCTCTTCACAATTTTTATAAGTATGTGTTATATCTTCTGTTTCAAAAATTTCCTGGTGCTTTGGTACATATTATTTTACCTATAGAATGTGTAACTTTTCCAATTAATTTTAAGGGTCGTGAGGGTCCATTGTATTTCCTGTATATCTAAAATGTATTATTAATTAGTAAACTTTTACAAGATTATTCTTATTTGAATTACTTCATTGGTATTGACTTCAGCAAAAAGCAAGGCAACATTCTAAGGACGTAAAATGTCTCCTCTTATAGTATATATTGAGGATGGATAACCTTTTGCCGTTGCTCATATCCTGAGGATTTCTGTCAATAACTTGCCAACCTGCATACTTTTCTCCCAAGTCGGGTCTATCCATCCAAGTTTCGTTCCAGACATAAAAAAATTCATACAGAATCGGAATGTAGCTTATTTAGTTTTTGATCCTCGGTATTTATAAGATAATCTAGATACAGGGAGAAAGTTGCGTGTCGTGGGCTGACGAGAAATTGGTAACGCTTCTTGTCGGTATTCCAATAGATCTGCAAACTAATTATAATCGTTATTTATTTGATAATTTTGATCATTACGTAAAGATACTTATTGTTAGTACTCCTGAGAAAACGAGTTTTATAATATGTCTGTAAAATCTTAATGATTCTAAACACTTCGTATGTTAAGTTCCTCATGGTAGTTATCTGACCATATTACATCAATTACTCCATTGACATCATTTGAATTTACGGCTGCAGATAAATCCCTAACAATTTGAACTGGATCCGACCTGTACATTATACCAAATTTAGCCACATATTTAATTATATACAGAGAACAGCCTAAAATATCTTTCTCGAATTGCCCATAACTTCAAACGCAAGTCCTGAGTCTGTTCGAAGTTCCTCTCCATATAAGCACGACATCTTCCAATACAAATTCTGTTTTCCATTCTCCTGAACTCATGTAGACTTAATCCTGATGCAACCAAGGATTAAATATAATATACAGTGACATTGGCCACGAATAACTGCATGACCTTGCATGACTACTAAATGTAATAGCTTTGTCTCGATATTTAATTGCGATCTGAGAACGCAGCCAGAAAATATAAATAAATAACGTAGCCCATTTCAACAAAATTTAACGAAATGTTGTAGCGAATATCGGCAAATTTATTAAAAACTCAGTAAAAGAAATTGTTGCTAAAAAAATCATCTGAAAATATTACATTAATAATGAAAATGAAGTCGAACATCTAAATGTTTCAAGCGATGAATATGTTGAGTTTGTGTCAATTTATAACAAAAGATTGGTTGTTTTAAATAGCAATAGTAAAATTTACTTTTATTTTCTGAAATGTCATAATTATTATTTTTAATCTATATGAAATAAATGTATTTTCAAAACTTATACCAATATTTCCATTTTTATCGGGGTTTTCAATGGGGTAAAAATCCACGTGGAACGAAAATTCAGGGTAATTTTCGCGTAATTTATAATTTAAGCATTTTACAAAGTGAATTTAATATGAAATAAAAATGTTATTGTAATTTATTAAATGCATGAAAAATAATTATAAGGTTCTTCTTTGTCAGAAAGAATTTGGTTGATAGACCTTTAGCTAACAGGAAAAGTAAGTTACCTTGTTCATTGGGTTTTTCGTCAGTTATCGGTTTATTTCTATTAAACCAATTTACACGAAACCACTTTTTCCATTCCATGGTATTTTTTTCCAATTTTTTGTCTAAATTATTTTATTTAAATTGGGTTTTACTGATGCTCCGAATACAGTGAGAGTTAGAGTTGAACTACTATTATCTAAAATGTAAGCTGTAAATATATTCAACTCACAAGTACAGTAGAAATGTAAATTATTTATAATTGTTTAAAATACTATGATATGATTTTCTTTAAGGTGATATCGGCCTTAAGTGCATTTCCTATATTGAATATTGACCTCATGATCATTGAAAACGCTCCTATTTTCAACGTCTTATAACATCTATAATTTGAATTAAATGTAGTTAGGTCAATAACGTGAAATGTAGTCAGGTAATAACGTGAAAAAGTGATTGAGCATGTTTCAAAGCCCTCTTCGACTTTCGCCATTTCCGATTCAAAGCTCAGGCAAGCCAAATGGTATTTACGCACCACTGCGTGCAAGTTTGATTTCAGACGTTTTCCTGTTCTTCAAACAGTCGACTGTTCTCAACCGGTGCTGCCTCAACCGATTTCTTTCTGCGATCATCAAGTGGATTTCTGGAGATATTGAGTTATTGTTTGATTTGATTTTTTTATATTTTATGTTTTTCTGATCGCAACTAGCAGGGCATTAGTTAATTGGTCCACTTGGGCATTTAGATCTTTAATTGAAGTTGGACATGATAGAGTTAGTTCACGATCTAGTATCCTCCTAAATTTCTTCCAGTTCCTTCCTTGGTAAATTGATGCGGTTGCTGACCAAAATTGGACACCCATTCATCGGATCCTGTAATTATGATAATGTTTATTTTATGGTTTCGCAGGAGGCTAACCAGTTCCATTTTTTTATTTAAGATTCTATTTGCATTCGGGTTAGTTGTTCTAGTAGGTTGTTTCCCTCCGCCAGGGGTAGAATCAAGTCCAATAGTGCGTAGAGGATTTTAGTTGAGTGTTGTTGGGTTGGACAAAGGCTCTTCTGTAAGGGTATTCCTCATTGCAAGAAGTTTGTCCTGTGACGCTTGTGATCTGTGATTTCCCGTGACTGTATACTTCTTAATTCGCGGTGCTGCAAAATGGTTCGACTGGGCTTAAATCTGTTGTTACTGTTTCGACATTTGCTGAAGGATGTCTAGATCTAGATATGTCAGACAGGTCGTAGAACTTGCTGGCCTCCTTACTTGTGCACTTGGCAGGCATATCCACCGTTTTTGTGCAGTATTTGGATAGATGATCTGCATCGCATTTGACGAATCTAGGTGCCATGGTGCAGTTTCCGTCAGCAAGCCCTCATCTCTGACATCGGTGACACTTTCCAATGAGCTTCTTGTTTTTGTATTTTTCAATTTTGATATTTACGAAATCAAGTACTTGAATTTTCTCCTTATTATGTTGTAGTTGATGTTTTTCTTAAGATTGAATAGGAAATGGAATTGAATTTTCCTACCAGTTCTTTGGTTTACATCAGAGGTGTCCAAACTACGGCCCGCGGGCCAAACCCGGCCCGGCAAGCGATTTTATCCGGCCCGCCAAGTATTTTGAAAAATTTCGTAAAATATATAAAATATGTTGACCAAATATAAGTTGGACTGGAATCGACTACAAGGTGTGACAATTGACGGAGGAAGAAACATGTCTGGTGCGAAGAATCACCCTGAACAGCTTTTATCGGATGCAGAGTGGTTCTGGAAGTTGGCAATTTTTGCAGATGTCGTAAATAACGTAAATAACTTGAATTTAAAGCTCCAAGGTAAAAACAACTTAATTTGTGATTTATTCAATCAAATCAAAGCATTCAGAGCCAAGCTGATATTGCTCGAAAGTCATATGAATGAATGTAATTTTTCCCATTTCACGTGCTGTGAAAAATTTAGTACAGAAACTGACGAAAGATTTCCCACCATATTTGCTGTAAAAGTAATCGCGGATTTAAAACTAGAATTTCAAAAGCGTTTTTCTGATCTTGACATAAATTCAAGGGAAATTCGGCTGTTTCAAAATCCATATGACTGCAACGTTGGCGACGTTTCAAGTCGCTACCTATATGTGCGAACAAACTTTTTCAAGGATGAAGTATCTGAAATCTAAATATAGGGCAAATTTATCGGATGCTCATTTGCAATCATTGCTAATAATTGGTGTTTCCGATTTGAATCCCAACTTTGAAGAAACTCTACAGGAAAAAACCCAGTTCCACCATTCCCATTAAAAATTGCATGAAATAATTTTATAATAATATAATTTAGACATTTTTGTTTAGTATTGTTATATCTGTAATTTACTATAAAAAATAAAATTCAATGCTGCTTTACTTGTAATAAGGTTTTTTAATTCACATATTTACAATGCTTGGCCCCCGCTAATGAATTTAAATACCAAACTGGCCCTCGCAGCAAAAAGTTTGGACGCCTCTGGTTTACATCGTCCTCGGACATATTTTTTTTTTACAAAGCAATCTTTCTACAAACATAAAAATTTAATGCTGGATTAATTAATGAAAAAATAAAAATATATATTAGAGATTGATCCAGCGACCAAACTCCACAGAATGCTTATTGTCAATTTAGACATCACTAACACTAACTTTAAAAGTGATTAAGGAGGTTCTGTGGTTTAAATCGTTTCAATCTTTGTCGATGAGATTCAGTGTGTGTAAGCTCAGAGGCAAGTTGGTTTAGATGGTCCTCCAGCCGATGTTGGTATTTGCTGCTGAGTGCCGTTATCTCATCCTCCACAAATCTGACTCCAGTGTATGTACTCGTTAGTCGAGAACCAGGGAGCAGAACAGTACCTCTTCTCCACAAGACTTTTGCCAATCACATCTACCACACGATGCGATGCACCTGTTCCATAGTGCCACTGGTGTTCCGGGATGAGATGACTATCCAACAGCCAGTGCTTCAATCTTCGCAGCAACAACCTCTCAAACAGTTTAGACTGGACCGGCAGGAGGCTATCCCCAGGTCATATCCTGGGTTTTTTTTTGAGCTTTAACTCCAGTACAGTTAGCTCAACCTGTCTCACATTAGATTGAGCAATGGAAAGTAACATTTGATATGGAGACCCCAGAAATTCCATTATGTTGTTTTCCTCTTCCCCTGTAAGTCCTACCGGGAAAGGTTTATCATCTGGATGGTGGGTGGTTTTTCAAATCTTCCTCAGCCGTATTTTCTCTTTTACAAGGTTACGTACGTTTGCTGGAGCTTTGTAGCTGGTTTCAATGGATGATGCTGAAGGTGTAGAGCTCCATGCAGCTTCGACCGCATTTTCCAAGTCTTTCTCCTGCAAGTGCTCTTCCTGAAAGTTCGGCAATGCGTAGTGCTTAATGCTGCTTCTTATTATCAGGGCCGTTCCTGCATGTGCAATACCATCAGGATGAACCGTCGCATATACCGTATAATTCGGGATGATGACATGGTTTTTATCGGTGAAAGGAGTTTGAGAAATTAAAATGACATTCAAGCTATGGGTTTTTATAAACCATATGAGCTCTTGCATATGTTGTGTCAAGCCGTTGACGTTCCAGCCTGCTATTTTCAGTTGTTGAATAATCATTTTAGCTTCTTGACAAGTTCAGAGATGAGAGCGAACATGTCCATCCGTCTCATAAGTTGCATCATCATATCGGAAAGCTTCTCTGATTGGTTTGGAGAAGATGCGGATAGCTGTACATCGTGTACGGGTTTTCGCTGCTTGGGCATATTGTTTCCCTGGTGTCTTTGGGTGTAGTTGCTGGAGCTAAGGGAATTTGTTGTTGTTTGAGTCTAGGTGAGGGAAATGTCCGCTCTTTGATCTCCTTGTAAACCGTATACCTTTTATAGTTCGCTGGGTGTTTGCCTTCGCACAGTACACATTTTGCTGGTGTCTCTGGTGATTTGCTGCACTCAGCTGAAAAATGCTTTTGCCCGGATTTCACGAAGTGCGGCTGCTTGGAACAATAGTTGTTTGTGTGTCCATAGCATTGGCACCAAAGGCACAGCGATACTTCCCTTCTCTTAATCGGTGCTTCCAATGATATTTTTTGATGCAGCAGAGACACAATTTTATATATATATCCTTGTTGTTTTCTGTCTGCTTCAGCTCCACAAAAAACATGGGAAGTTGTTTGCTTGAATCTCTGCCACTCCTTATGTTACTTATGTTCCGTACAGTGTGGCCAAAAGACTCAATTTCCTCTTTTATGTCCTCGGTATTGCATGAGAAATGCATACCTCTTAATACGACCCTAAAGGAGCGTTCAGTTTTCTTCTGGTAGGATTGGCATGGGATGTGTTTATCTTTGATTAGCGCGCTAATTCTTTCATAGTCATTGGTACCATTTGTTTGTACCTTCACCTGTTTCTGCCCAACCAATTTGAGCGTTTACGCGTTCTTCGCGACGGTATCAAAGTCCTTGATTAGTTTGTTAATGTCGTCCACGTCAGGGATGAAAAACGGTGCTGGTTTTGTTAAGGTTTTAGGTTTTGGATTATTAATTTTTGTGTCTTTTGGCTGGAACTCTTCCGAGCCGTTTGGCAGACTGGCGGCACCTTGTTGCTTACTAATTCTCTGCATATAACTTCGGAGGCTGGTTGATATTGCTCGCACTCAAAAAATAAGTGATCCAGCGAGCCCACGGTTCCAGCATGGATTTTGTTTAGTTCTATGTTGTTGCAGCTTGTACTGCAACTCTCCGCACTCACTTGCTTTGCCTGGATGGTAACGTTTTGCGCGTGTTTGTTTTTTTGGTCCCCTGAATTGGTATATTTATTTCAGTTTTCTTCTTAGGTCTCTTCCTTTTTCTCCTGGCTCGCGTGGAACGTGCTACTCGCCGTCCGAAGAACCTTCGTCCGCTATTGTGGTTGGCCATACCAGCACTACTATTGTTTGTTCTCATCCACTATTGTTTGTTCTCATCCACTATTGTTTGTTCACAACTATACACAGGAATACTTATTATCACAATTTAATTTGAAGATGGAGCACCGGTCTCTCCATCAAGTCACTTTATTACATTGCTATAGGTGGCTGCCTCTTTAGGTGTATATGTGTACATGCCGATGTTGTTGCTCTGTTTTAATGTACGTTCAGATAGAATATGTTGTGATGGTAGTGGATTTTTGCCGGTGTGTGACAAACAATGTTGGTCAATGCGCCCGCCATCCGATGGACTGTTTCACGATTGAGCCTCGACTACGTTACAATCGGTGGTGGCATGTTCGGTTTGGTTGGTTGCATAGTATCTCCCATGTTTGTTTCGTCTACCTTGATCGAGTCCGTGTCAGCGGTAGATCTCGTAGCTGAGCACGTTCTACGCTTTTTTAAATGCCCGACTGGAGAGTTCCAGGAAGCATCCGATTCAGGTTAATCACTTTCGACCATGTAATCGTAGTCGTTTGCATCTTTAGAAAGTGTTTCTTTATCTGATCAATTTTAATGGCTGAGTGGGTCCATTGTATTTCTACAAAATCTAAAACGTATAAATTATTAACTATAAAATTACTAATGTCATTTCTTGAATAATAATGTTTCTATCGAAAATTCTTAAGCGGTAATTAAACATGTATTTGTTTATAAGATTCTACACACTTATGACACTTATGTTCAACATAAGATTGCTTCTTTATGTATTTTTGGATAATAAAATATATCGATTGTGTGATTATTTACAGTAGAGCTCTTTTAATTATTACTTCATATGTCCGAATGGTGACCACTCGAAAAGTGTCCTTTTTAAGGTGAATTTCCACAATGCGACCCATTTTATTAAACAATGGTTTGGTATTCTATTCCACTAGAACCACTAGCATTTCCACGAGATTGATTGGATATTTTATGTCTTGATAGTAATGTCATTTTGATCGTTTTTGTTCGTAGTTATATAAGCAAGGAAACTGCCAGTGCTAGACTGCTGGAAAAGTGGTAGGAGAAGGGAGCCAGGACTAGACGCCTAATCCCGACAATGAAGCAAAAGGCGGAATCAAATCTCGGAGAAGTGTTGAAACCTGAGACTTTTGTTGTATCATCACAAGTTACTATCAATGTAAATGAATGAAATATGAAATGAAAAAGGGGAGAGGTTTTAGTGAGGAAATAATAGTGGCCCCTATGTAAGATTTCCTCTCCTCTACAAAAAAAGGATTATAAATAGTATCGGCTCAACCTTTTTCAGAAATGGGCTCTGATTTTCTTCACTACTTGCCTGGTGAGCCTGTTTTGTCTGGTAGTATTTTACCAATTTAGAAATGGTAATTTTTATCTTTATTTGTGGCTACCTCGTAATTCTATTGATACTCCCTAACATGTAACCCTAACATTTTTAATATTTAGAAATCTTATTTTTAGTAAAACTACGCAATTTATAAAATTGTTTTAAAATAATGTTTTGGAAATCCTTGATATTACTTCTTTATAGTTTTAGTTTTATAATTATTCTATACAGATGTGATATGTCGTTTTTTTTTTAATGAAATTTTGTTATATGCAGCTACTTTCGCCGAATGGTTAATTTTCTACACACTTATGTAGAAACTTAACATTCATAGATGAAAATACTAATAATATTCTTTTCGAATTAATAAAAAGACTGCATCTGAGGATCATCAAAAATAACACAAATTTATAAAAAAAAAGTAAATTTATTTGCATAAATTTAAAAAATCATGTTGTATAATAAAAATGGTAAGCGAAATCTACATTAGTCTTATATAACATATTTTTTATAGAGAGGTATTATATGAGTGTTAGTATATTCATACTTTATTTTCAATGTCCTTTTTCATATTCACCATGAAATTCAAAAAACCATCGCAATCATCCAATTCCATTGAAGTGAATTTAGCAACAATAGTCTGTCTACCATGTTTGGTAGGCGTAAACGTGAATTCCACTTGAATCTTTTCCTTGCTCCTCACATTAGCATTCAGCTTGCACGTCTTATCAATACCTGGTCCTTCTATTTTAAACTCTCCCCTTTTCAGTATTATTGGTAAAGGATTTTCCAAATAGGCAACCGCTCTGCATGGAGTATTCTCCACAGGGTCGTCCTGCAGCTGAATTTTAATGTCGGGCTTCCTCACGCGAAAATCATCCTGTGCGTAATACTCATAATCAGTACCCTCAACCTTAGCCAAGCATGAAATATTGAAAGCAGCCTGATCAAGCAGACGTTTGAAATATTCTTCGTATGCTAAATGCAGTTTAATCTCCTGATAGGTATTTTTTTCTAAGGAGATATTAAAATGTTCGGCCTTGACTACATCTCCTACTCTACCACGATAAGTGACGACTTCTACTCTCAACAGAACGTTGACCATATAATCATGCAAAATGCTCTTATTTTGAACGAAAAGCGAAACGTTGAAAGGCTGTCCAATTTTTATATCATCTATAAGACGGAATTCGAAGTAAATGTCGTTAAATTCCTCGTTCAGATAATAACGTGAAAAAGTACTTGGAGCTTGTTTTAAAGCCCTCAACATAACGGCACGTTCCTCTTCAGTATATTCTGCATGTTTATACGTATGTGTGATATCTTCTCTTTCAAACTTTCCTGCTGCTTTGGTACTTATAAATTTTCCTATTGAATCTGTTTCTTTTCGGATCAATTTTAAAGGCTGAGTGGGTCCATTGTATTTCCAATAAATCTAGAACGTATTTAATTAGTAAACTTTTACAAGATTATAATTATTTTGAGTACTTTATCAGCATTGACTTCAGCAAACAGAAAGCTAACGTCGTATGGACGTTTAATTTCTCCCCGTTTTATAGCATTAACTGAGGATGGACCACATTTGTACATGTCATCGCTCATTTCCTGAGGAGTCGAATCAATGGCTTGCCAACCTGCATACCCTTCGCCCAGATCGGGTCTGTCCATCCAAGCTTCGTTCCATACATGGAAATTCCATATAGAATCAGAATTTAGCTCTTCCATTAATTCACCTTTATCATTCATAAAATAATCTACAGTTAGCGAACTTTGCGTGTCGTGTGCTGACGAGAAATTGGTGACGCTTCTTGTAGGTATTCCAAGAGATCTACAAACTAAATAAAATAGTTAAATATTTGATAATTTTGATTATTTTGTAAGTACATACTTGTTGTAAGAACTCCTGAGAAAACCCAGCACTGACCATATTTTACAGGCTTACGAGTTTTATAATATGTCTGTAAAATATTAATACTTCCTATCCATGTCGTTGGGGATGTTCCTCCCTCATAGTTGTTTGACCAATTGCCTTCAATTACTCCAGAGTCATCATTTGAATTTACGGCTGCAGATAAAGCCCTAACAATTGTAACTGGATCCGATCTGGACATTACACTAACTTTGGCCACATATTTCATTAAATACAGAGCACAATCTAAAATATCTTTTTCGAATTGCCCATAATTCCAAACGCAAGGTCTATGTCTATTCGAAGTTCCTCTCCATATTAAGCCAACATCTTCTAATACAGATTCTGTTCTCCACTCCTCAGAACTCATATAGACTTGATCAGCAGACAACCACGGATTAAATAGAATATACAGTGGCGTTGGCCACGAATAACTGTATGACCCATCATTTAAAATCTTTGTATCGATATCTAATTTCCATTTACCAACAATACAATTTACAGAAGGAGTAATTACAACAGTAACAGAATTTTTAAAAGTCTTCTCCAAGACTGCACTCCAACTCAGTGATTTGTCTTGATTTTTTAAAAGCGGGAGAGCAATTAAAGTACCTTGTCCATGCGATGGTTTATCTTCATCTAAAATATTATCAAGTTATTATAAAACATAATTGATTATTATTGCAAGTGCATACCTATAACTGTGAAGATGAAGGAAATAGCATCTAGTTTTTCATCAAATGGCCTATTGAAATCTATCACCAGTCGAAACGGTTGCCCTCTTCTAACGACTAGACTGGGTTCAATTTTTCTAATCATCAGTTCGTATTTGGATGTGTTATGTAAAGTACCATTTGGCAGAATGCAGGGATCAATTTGTTTCACTATTAAAATGTTTCCATTTTCAGAATCAATAAATGGTATTTCCTCTGAAAAAAGAGCATAAAATGCATAAAAATGTATTCATATTTCTATATAAACATATTCCTTGCATTTCAGACTAACCATATGGATCTTCAGCAAAGTCTATGGACAATGACAATGTTAAGGATAGCAGCAGCAGTCAAAGATATTGGTAACTATTTACCGTGAAAGATTATCCATTATCCATTGTCAACCGCGATCTTAAATTTACTCAATGTTCACATTGATGAACAGATTGTGAATAAAATTTAGTTAGTTTTAGTTAGGAGGCCGAACTGAGAAGTTAGTCTTAGTTGGATGGTCCAACGAAGGTCATAGTCTTAGCTAGAATGTCGAACAGAGAGGAAGTCATAGTTGGAGGGCCGAAGGAAAAGCACTGTCTTCCTAATTAGTAACTTAAGAGGAGAATGTAACTCTTAGTTAATTATCCATGAGAACAATTATTGTCTAGTTGACTTCTCAATAAAAACTCCGACGTGTATAATAAAATTAATAAAGAATATTGCATTTAATATGTATATATATATATATCTTAATTTTCAAAAGAAATAACTTGAATAAAAAATTTACTATTTATATTATTTATAAATTAGTAAATCAGATGTAATTAAATTACTGTTATTTTTCAGGAAAAATTCACAGCCTTATTTAATTATTCTTTAAAATTTGAAAAAACAGATAATTGAAAATATGAGTTATTATATTTTAACTAAATAATTACGAAATATGTAATTTACCTGCTTCCTTAGGTTTCGGCAAATTTGCTTCCCTCAACGATTTTTCTCGACGGAAGGAAAAGCAGGGAAAACAATTTTCACAATGATACCACTTTTTCTGTCCCATAGTGATGTATTAAAAGTCTTCGTACAAATAAATAACAATAAACACTCTTTTGCAAAAGCACCGAATGCAATGAAATTCAGAGTTCAACTGATAATATTACTGAAGAGTGAGCTATATAAATCTTTGAGTATAGTGCACATAGTTTTTTCCAACCGCGATATTAAATGACGTAGCAATTATCCATAACATGTGTATATTTAGAAAATAAATTTAATTCAATTTAAATACTATATATTTAAACATATTCTATTAATTTGGTGGTTATACTTCCGCTCTACATCAAATGAATGAAATGGGTCACGTACTAGTGTACATGTTAAGTTGTATCAATCACATGTAATACTAGAAAAAATGTAGTTTAAAGGTTACGGACTCGACACAAATTTGAATGCGTTAAAAATTCAGCAAATTCACTGATATATTACTCATCGCTAATTTTGCTGACGCTGATATGATATCAGTTTCTTAACACTTGTTTTGTTATTTTAATAAAATTAATTAGTATCTCTAGAAGCAATATTTGCCAATTCAGAATGTGAAAATTTCAGTAATCATAACAACATATGTTTACAATTTATATTTCAGTAATTAACAAGAAATAAGTTAATAATAATACAGTGGAACCTCGCTTAACGAGTTTAATCCGTTCCAAAATTTCCGGATTTTTACTCGTATTTTTCCCATTTAAACTTATGTAAATTACGATAATGCGTTTCAAGCCGGAAAAAAGTGTAACTTGGTCTCGATTTTTCATGATTTTGCTTTTTATATCTATGATTATTTTTATTCTTTGGTTTTTTATAATTATGGTTGGACAAAATACATTTGTGTTATACATTTACAGCAAATACAATTTATATTTGCAAAGTATAGTCCGCTTTAAACAAAGATGACAAAGAAAATCGGAGATGGTTATTATATTTAAAAATACACATAATATGTGTGCTTGTAAAATGATGTAGCAGGCGCGCAATCCAGAACTTTCTTTCTCATCGTCACTCGTTATGCGAAACGTCGCTCGTTAAGCGAGTCATTTTTCGTACTATTCATTTTGCTCGTTAATCGAAATGCTCGTTAATCGAGGTTGCAGTATAATTCTAAATAATAATTATTATATTGTTGTGTAATATCTTACAAATTTTATATTTCATGTACAAATATTTTTATATTAAGCGCTAATAGCCTAATGGTTAAGTCGTCCTACGCACGTGCCAGTGGTCACAGGTTCAAAGATGGACAGTGAAATTAATGAGGTTCAACATATGGAACTTCAGCCAAGTCGATGGACAACGACAGTGTTAAGGATAGCAGCAGATTCACAGTCAATGGAAATAGTATAAATTGCAGAGCATCAATATACTACTGACGACAGCCAACCGGGAAAGATTACCTACCTAATGTCATCCGCGATCTTAAATTTACTCAATGTTCACATTGATAAAATTACACGACATAAAAAAAAATAAGTAATAATTGTATGAAATCTTAAAAAACCATTGACATATTATTATATGATTATTGAATTATAATATTATTTATTTTCTCAGGTGAATAACAATTTATTTATGTTTACAGTAATTTTATTTTATTTTATTTGTTGAAAGTTTTGATTTTTTTATGTGTGTATAAATATTAACAGGAAATTATTGTTTATGATATTATAATGTGGGAATTACAATAACATTTCTTACGCGGGAATTCCCTTTATGCTGATTCAGTGTAACTTCCGGACTCAAAGAGCATGTTCATGAGTTTTCGATTTGATAATGATATCTAGAACAGCCAGACTTCATTTACAATTGTTTTCAGTATACAGTGGAACCTCGCTTATTGCACATTTACAAAAATAGAGAAAAATTTTCCATTGCTTGAAAGTTGGGTTTAATTGTCTTGGAGATATTTATTAATTGTTTTTTTCAAAGCAAGCTATGTTTTGTTTTTCTTCTTCGCCGCTTTTTCATCATCGCTATCATCTTCTATTTCTATGGATTTTGTAAATTATCTAAAAACCTTACTAAACTAAAACAATATAACTAATTTCAGTTTTCATTTTTTTTAATTCACATAACAAAGACGATTTTGTGTAATTTTTTTATGTTTTTAATGTTTTTTTAATTGGAAAAACCCGGTTTTCGAATTACATAACCGATTTTCAAAATCTGGGTTTTAAAAACCGACAAACCTTATATGTCAGTGATTCTCAAAGTGTAGGTTGCGAAAAATATTTGGGGAGCCGCAGAAAAATTGATGGCAGATTATTTTTTTTTAAATAAAAACTTCTAACTAACCATTTCCACCGTATTTTATTGGGAATTATATATCAGAATAAATGTAAGCAACGTACTTATTTATTTACAAAAAATAACGTGTTTTAATAATAATTTAAATTGATTAACACAATAAATTTATTTTAGAATATGAGGCGACTAATAGCCGAATGGTTAAATCATCATAATAATAACTTTTCACCGGGAAAGATTATCCATTTAATTTACTTAAATGTTAACATTAAAAGGAAAGTTACGAGTGCAGATGCAAAAGATCTTGCTGAGGCGGGAAGCATTAAACAAAAGAAATTATATTATTCACCAAAACAAAGAGACACCCCCCACCAACATAAAGATGTTTCTTCATACTTCATACATTTTTTTAATTGTAATAGAGGGACGCGGACAAAAATGTTTGAGAATCACTGCTATATGTGATCACTAAGATGCAACCTTAATGACTACTAATACCAGGAATTGTTTTCCTGACTTCAATTGTCTCTTTATACTTTTAATATTTGTTTATATAAGAAAGCGTACGTAGTGTGTTTAAATATTATGCATTTGCAACAAACACAAATTATATTTGCAAAATATTATAGTCCGCTATAAACAAAGATGACAAACAAAATCGAAGATGGTTAATATATTCAAATATACACAAAATATATGTACATATGTTTTGAAAACAATGTTGCAGGCGCACAATTCGGGACTTCATGACATTTTTCTTACAATTTATTTTGCTTGTTAAGCGAAATGCTCGTTAAGCGAGGATCCACTGTATTATATTTTATTTAATTTTTAAAGAGGGACTTCAAGATTTTTTTTGATAGTGAATAATAATATTACTAATAGTAATAATTTATTGACCATTTAAATTAATATAAATTAAAATTGTAAAACATAAATTTTATTTAATAAATTCGTTCTGCCAAAAAATATCAATAAACAACTACTTTTTATTTTAATAGGTAACGTTACTTCTGATAACGAAGCTTCGGTATATAACGAAATATAACGAAGTACGCATTTCAATATCGGTTTATGAAACCTCTTTAACCTGTTAACTACTGAAATATATTTACAAAACTGCCTGTATAAACGCGAAAAAAAAAATTAAAAATGTTATATATTTATGTATATTGTATACATAATATTTCAAATCACTGTAAATGTATCACAATATTATCATCAAAAACATATTTTACGGTAAATTGAAAAATGAAAAACTAAATCGGAATTTTGAATAATTTCAACAATTTTATTTCAATTTTTAAAAATTTATTCTTGTGCGATAAATTACACAAAGTCTTATTTTACACTCGGGAGACCAAGTTGTAACACATTTTCTTCTTTTTTCACCTCGAATACTATTTGAGCATACATGTCAAATTCTTTGTCTGATGTGTCAATACGTTAAAAAAGTAATTATTATAAGAAATTTTATAAGAAAATGTTCCTTCCCAAATTTAAATTAAATTAAACATTAACCGTTTTCCAATACCTAATATCCCTCGATTAAAACCCTCCTGCTACTTTTTTTTTCTCTCACTCACTTCTTATTTTGTTTGTGTGCATATAACTTTTTTCATATCATTCTCTTTTTCAGAATTATTATTATTTACTTTTTATAGGATATCCTTTTTTGTTAATTATAATTAACACCTACATTCAAAAATAAATTGTGTATAAAATAAAACACGTTAAAAGATGATAAAATATTCACAAATGTGTATTTGCATACTGAAATCATAATCAAGTTCCGAGATAACATATCTTACAATAATATATAGAACATATTAACATATATTTGTTAATGAGTACAATACATGTGCAAAGTAAGTTAATGTTAATAAATCTTATATTCATTTAAATAAAGTACGTTTATCATATTTATTTCAGTTCATTTATGATCTTCATGTAACGTTAAAACAATTTTATTGCTAGAGAACTTTGACATACTATGGCTATAAATATAACGTATCGGAATGAGAGTCGTTGATGCATACCAATTTATCTAATGACTTGAGTTTGTTTATTATATTGAGTTGGCAACAAAGATAATTTTCATTTACATTTTTTTTATGTCATATAATTTTATTCACAATCTGTTCATCAATGTGAACATTCAGTAAATTTAAGATCGCGGTTGACATTAAATGGATAATGTTTCTTGGTGGATAGTTACCATTATGATAATTTGATTTTAATTTGTTGGTTGGTTGTCGTTTTGTCGGTTAACTTCAGTAGTATATTGATTCTCCACTATTTCCTTTGACTGTCAAACTGCTGCTATCCTTAACACTATAATTGTGCATCGCCTTGGCTGATGGTCGATATGATGAACCTCATTCATTTGACTGTCCATATGTGATGAACGATGGACCTATTGCTGCAAGCACAGAGAGGGCTCACAAAGGGCCTACCTTAACCGGCGCCCACGAATTCGTGGCGACTTAACCATTCGGCTATTAGTCGCCCATGTATGCAAATGAAACATGTTTTTTTTATATATAATTATTAAAATATATTCAATAATATATTTTCCATTTTGATCAATGTCCTTTTGCCATCTTTCCGTCTAGTTGATTATACCAAACGGGACTATAGTATTGCTATATTGAAATAAGCTTGTATATAATTTATATAAAACATTTTATTAGTTTCAATAAAATTGTTATTATTTATATTTTATATAGTTGTTCCAAATAATACAATTCTTGATACAATTATGGGATTTTTGTTCGACTTTCAATTGTGGCAAGTCAGTAGATATTTTAAATTTTGTATTGTATCCCGTGTAATTACCATATGTGCATAAGCGAACAAATAATTATTACATATACATAGTTGAAAATTTTAATTACATTGCAAAGCTGAGAGGAGTGGTATGTAAACATATTATGACTGCAAGTATACAAGGCACGAGGTTAAGTATACTAATTAT